CCTCTTACCTTCACCCTCAGAGACATGCGACCCGACCTTGACCCCGAGTGAGTGCCAGCTGCGGAAGGCGGAGTGCGGAGTGATCAACAGCATCATGCAACCAGCTGGAGGGCCGATCGTCTCTGTGGTTCATTGCTCACAGGTGGTTGGCGTGCCTATTAACCCAGCTGTCTTCTCGACTCTTGGTGAGTAAGGTGTTTTTTTTTATTATTATTATCATCCATTAATTAGCTGGGTTATTAATGTATGTATTATCATTTTTTCTTTCTTTGTTTTGCTAAATTCTTTACGTTTTGTGTTATTACTTTTGTGTGATAGATAGATGATAGATAGGCAGACAGATAGATAGATAGATAGATAGATAGATAGAAAGATACATAGATAGATAGGTAGATATATGGATAAATGAATAGACAGACAGACAGAGAGATAGGTAGACAGGCAGACAGAGGGATAGGTAGACAGGCAGAGAGATAGATGGCTAGATAGAAAAATATAGATGATTAGATAGAAAGAGATAGATAGAGATGGATAGACAGATAGATAGATAGATGGATAGATAGATAATGATAGATATCTAGATAGACTGATGGATAGATAGAAAAAGAAAAATAGACAGATAGACAAACAGATAAATAGATAGATAAACAGAGAGACAGATTGGGCGATCGATCGATCTGTTGATAGATGGATAGAAAAATGGATAGACAGAAAAACAGACAGACAGATAAACAGAGATAGTTAGATAGATAGAGGGAAAACTAGACGGTAAAAAATGGAGAAAGTAAAAAAAAAAATAAAAAATAACACACACACACACACACACACACACACACACACACACACACACACACACACACACACACACACACACACACACACACACACACTTACACGCACATACACACTTACACTTACACTTACACGCACATACATCGCTACAACAACAACTACAGCTCCTACGATGATTTCCCGCAGGCACGTCCTTCCTGGCCGGCGTTCCCCCCAGTCTACCTGATTACCTCCAGGCAGATCCTACGTCCATCGCCGCCCTCCGGTTCTGCGTCCTCAACTCGACCGGCCTCGTGAGTTCGGGGGGGAGGGGGGGGGAGTGGGTGATGGGGGGGGAAGGAGGAGGGAGTAGGGGGAGGGGGAGAGGGGGAGGGGGAAGGGGAGGGGGGAAGGGGAGGGGGAAGGGGGAAGGGGGAAGGGGGAGGGGGAGGGGGAGGGGGAAAGAGAGGGAGGGAAGGAAAGAAAGCGAAAGAGAAAGAGAGAGAGAGAGAGAGAGAGAGAGAGAGAGAGAGAGAGAGAGAGAGAGAGAGAGAGAGAGAGAGAGTGAGGAGAGGGGGTGAGAGAGGGTGAGGAGAGGGGGAGGGGAAGGGGGAAGGAGAGGGTGAGGGAGAGCGAGGGAAGGAAGGAGAGAAAGCGAAAGAGAAGAAGAGAGAGCGAAAGCGTGAGAAAGAGAGATTTCAAGCTACGCAAAGAAAACTAGAGAGATATAACTAGCTATAAACAAAACAAAACAAAACAAATCAAACCAAAAACAAAACAAAACAAAAAAACAATCAAAGACACGAAACAGAAAAAAAAATCACTAACATAATAAAACCAATACTAACAAACACAGGTAATGAAAAATAATTAATCTTAATATAAAAAAAGCGTATTTCATTCTCCCTTCTCCCCCCCCCCCCCAGCTTCTACCTAGCGGGAAAATCGACCGGCCGCAGCTCCTTGCCAAGCTCGATGCCCAGCTCTACTACGTGCCAACTGTGGCAGCGACTGTCAAGAATGCTGTCAAGACCTGTCCGGAGCCTCAGGTGTTTAAGGTAACGTTCGGCAGTTGATTTAGGGTTTATATGACAGTTTAAGGTTAGGTTTAAGGTTAGGTTAAGGGTTTAAGGTTTTTCGGAGTAGATTTATGTGACATAAGAATAAAATAAAATAAAAGTAAAAAACCAAAAAAAATCATACTTTAAATACGCCTCCCCCCCCCTTTTTCCTCTCCTCCCCCCCTCTTCCAGGTTCAACCCTTCATCGCCTGCCTCCGGAGCGCCTGCCTCACCGCCCCCGTCCCCCTCCCCCTCAGCGCAGCCGAGGTCAACCCCCCCTCGCTGGATCTGACCCTCGCCAGCCTGCCCACCTCCATGCCCATCCCCGGCTACTGGGCATTCTAGAACATTCCAGAACAACGGGAGGGGAGGAGGGGAAGGAGAAGGGAATTAAGATCTGTTCTTCAGCGTTTCGTGGGTTTTATTCTGGAACATTCTGGAAGAAAGGAGGAGGAAGGGATATCTTTGTTCTTCAAGGTCTGATGGGTTTTCTGGAACATTCTGGAAGAACGTAGGAGGGGGAAGGGATCTTTGTTCTTCAAGGTCTAACGGGGCTTTCTAGAACATTCCGGAAGAACGAAGGAGAAATTGATAGCTGTTCTCCGATGTCTGCTAGAACTTTCTAGGATATTCGAACATGAGGAAAAGGAGAATTGTTCATCGTCATC